GCAGACTTTTGTGGCGTGCAAAACGTTTCACTCGTCGTCCTTCGCGCACCTCCAGAAATCGAGAAGAAGATGGCGTGGCCTAAACAGGCAAGGCTATCGATTCCAAATCTTAACCGAAAGTCAAAGACGAGAAGCCTAAACAAAAGCGAAAGTTTGCCACTTGTTCAACCCTTTGCGACTCCCCCGCTGCCAACGTTTTAACCCCTCCACCCATGATTTATGCATGACCCAGAGGAGGTCGACCTAAGCAGCAGGGGTGTTGTGTGGAGAAAACAGAGGAGGGGTTGGGTAAAGGGCAAAGCTGTTCCAGATTTGCATGCGAATCGTCCAAGTTGGATTCATTGGCTTTGGGGCAGATTTGGAACTGGGTTTGACAGTAAATACTTTGCTCCAATTGTTCAAGGCTTGGTTTTGCGACCCTAGTGGGTATTTAGCAACACTGCTTCTTAAGGATTATTTTGAATCTAAATCGAATCTAAACATTTTTAACGGGAAACTATTGATTTGATTAAATCATATTGCATATTTTATAACATTTGGCGCCCAACGTGGGACTTTGCATTGCTACTTCAACTGTTACTTCCTTCATTACCAACTTTTCTATTACCGTTCTGCTGGTGGATATATCGATCCCAATTAGCGAGTTCTGCACTTCTAATCGAGTCAGTGGCAAATATAATCAGTTCCATGTCCACATTATGCTGCACTTCCCTCGTTTCCTCTATTTCCTTTGTCTGTGTCAAATCAATTAGCAAGTGCAATTAATGAAGCGCAATGCACTAAAATAAAAACTCCGAAAACCAGTAGGGAAAAGGCGAGAAAATCACAGCAGCATAGGGAAAAAAAGAAAATTCAGCTTTGGTCAGCTGGGTGAAGAAATTGAAAGAAAGGTGGGGGAAAGCACACAGCAATTTGTCTTTTTCATCAATTATTTAGACACGGCAGCGAAAATAATGATGATGGTGGTGGCAGAAGCTTGATGGTGGAGATGCAGATGCGGGAAAGTTGGGAGTAACGCTTTCGAGAAAGGTTTTTGGGGAGGTGAAAACGTGGATAGAGAAACAACAGCATCAACTATTGGCAGTTAATTAATTGAATTCTGTTCAGTAACGTGTTGCAACCGTCTGCAATTGCAGCGAAACTTTTCACCCGCCGAAAAGAGAGGCGGAAATGTGGGGTCAAGTTACGTAACGAGTTTGGCGCATAAAGTCATTAAAGTTCTCTGATTCGATTTGGCGTCTTATCCCTTTCATCCGCTTCCCATTTTCCGAGCGCAACTTTCTAAGCTTACAAATTAATGACGCCCCAAAGTGTGCTATCGAAAACGCGGGGGTTGTAAAAGTTTGGCAAAAAAGCCGGGAGCCATAAAAATATCGTTATACCTGAAACAGGTCAAATTCCGAAAAGGGGTTTCACTTATTCGCTGTTCACTTATTTACGATTTCTCCGATTAGTCGCTGGAATAATGGCACAAAAAAGCGAATGCTCAGCGGAAAACATTTAAAAACATTTTCAACCGTATGCGGGTTGTTCTCTTTTTCTATTTTTCCCTTTTCCCGGATATTTCCTCCCCCCAAATGTATGCTAAGCTGGCGAAAATTCCTCGCCAAAGGGGATTGGAAATGGTTTTGTTTCGTGAATGTGGGTTTCTGTCACTCTTATCAGTCAAAAAACATGCACAGCAACACCATCATTCACTCTCACTTAAACCGAGCCATAAAGAATACATTAAAATCGGGTCTTGAAGTATTTAAACCCGAGCCATAAAAACGTGAAAGTAAAAGTAGAAAATAATTTAATTTCCTTCGAGTTCATAAAAAATAGAATGTAACTTTCTTAACTTTTTGTTTCGGTTGAGCACAGATACAAATACTATCATAAACAATTTGCGGGGCCAATAAATAGGTTTCTCTCAGCAATTGTTCATTTTAGTTCTGTAAGCCAAGCAAATTAAGTTTGAGTTATTTTATGATTGCATCAAAGGGGGCATGGTGAAGAATACGTGGCGCTGTCACTACAGCTCAAATTCGCCCCTTGCTTTCTCGGTGCTCCATTAATTTAGCAATGTGAAACCAACGCACACACACAGTACAATACATATCCCCCCTTCATCCCCTTTTCAGTCAGACTCTGCCACGCCCATTTGATTGGTCACGTGCCTTGCACGCCCAAGCCCCCTGCCCTTCTCCTTCCGGCTTTTGGCTTCAATTCGTTGTGATTGCTTTGTATCGATTACAAAATGCATTACAACATTTGCCACATGATAAATAACACTCGGTAAATGGGTGGGTACTGTTTCGAGGGGTGGTGCGTGGGTTGCGGTGGGCGTGGTCGCACTTGAAATTAATGCTCTCGATACAGTAACACTGCGTTGACAGAAGAAGAGCGGTACATCCTTTGTTATTGGAATTAAAATAGGTACTCATTTGTTGCTCATGATTTTTGGATTTCTTATTTCTTATTACTTTATCGAAGTGACATTAGTGAACTAGAGACTACAAGTTTTTATACCCATTACTCTTAGAGTAAGTCGTCATGTTATACTCCCCAATTTCAATTTAATTTGACTTTGCGCTACAGAAGTAAGTGGACAGTTTCCACCCCCATTTTCCTGTTGTCTGATTTTACCTTTATGTATTTCAGTTCCACTTACTTTCAATGGCCTTTTAGTGTCCTTTAATATTCGCAGTCCTGGCTCAGTGTGACCATGCGCCATTAATAAGAAATGTAACTATCCCACCGCTTGCTAATGCAACCCTGGGCCGCCGCACTTTTAAACCCCAGCGGACGTTGCAAGGACATTCACCCACACGTGCCTGAAAGTTGGCTTGCTGCTGGCCGCCTGGCCCCTTCTATTCTTATTCTTTCAAAGAAATAAAATGCAATTGCGTGATTATTGAACGATTTGTATCAATTTACAAAGAGGAAAGAAGAGGAGGTCTGGGTAGGTAGGGTGAAAAACTGCCGTTGCCCCACAAATGTTTATTTATGCATTTCACTTGCTTATGTTATTACAAGTCTTCTCGGTGTGCGGGTAGAATGATTATTGATATCAGTATTCCCAAACAGACATACATACATACATGTTCAGCCCCTCAAAAGCAAACTTGTGGCAAATACAAACCTCCGGGGACGATTGCAGCTCACGACATTTGTCGCAACGTGCGAAAACTTTTCCCGTACAAGTGTCTCGCTCGTCGCCCCCTTCCCTTCTCATACACTTGTTAGCTTCTCAAGTTTATTAAAGTGGCATAAAAGTGTCATTGGCGTCTAATGGCCAACGATTAACTGGAAAGGAGCCCAATCCCTAAGCCCCCCGAACGACTCGAAAACTAAGTTCGAACCGAAGACCGAACCGGACCCATCTCAATCAATTCCGAGAAGAGCTTAATTGAACGGAGGTCGGATTTCATTTGCAGTAGTTTTTGTATTCCTCAGTATTTGTATACTGTGGAAGAAGGCAGTTCGATTATATGATACCTAAAATTGTGGAAAGAATTGGTCTTCTTGTCACAGTTTTTATTAAGATTCAATTTGTGTTTTGTGTTCTCTTTCCTTTTCGATCGTAATGCGAAAGATCAAGAAACATCTTTAACTTCAGCCTTGAATCATGTTATAAACATGAAACGAAGAACATGATTTGGGATAACTCTTTAAGTGGAAATCGACTTGCATTAACTGTAACTCCTAGCAGCTCAACCACACGCTCCGCTCCTTTCAATACAGAAACTTATATCGATATTAAACTTGGCTTCTTTAATGGCTGGAGGAGAAAAGTTCTCTCGGGGTTATGGGGGAAAACTTATTGAAAAGTCATAAAAAGCATAAAATACAAAAATGGCTTGTGGGAAAGCTAAGGAGCTGAAACGACATAAACTGGAAGAGCCACGAAATTGTTTTTTCCTTTTTCCCTTTTTTTTTTTTGTAAATCATTTAACACGCTCTCGATTTTTATTTTAATGACATCTCGGCAAAGTTGCCCTTAATGGCCTTAAGGTCGGAGCACTTTGGCAGGGACATAATGGAGCCTGCAGATAGATTCTGGTCCTTAGACTCCTTAGACGTCGACGAAAAACCCTTGGAGGCTGTGCAAATTTGTTCGCAGGCGTCACAGGCTGCATATCCTGTAAACTACTGTGCTGTTTGTGGTGTGTGTGTCCTGTGTGTTAATGATCATCATGAATATTCCGGCATTTGTTTGTTTGTTTGCCTAGAGACTTGCCCTCGCCAGTTTGCTCAGCCAAAATGTTAATATATGCCCGGCCCTAACCAAAACTAAACTATGTAAACCCTGCGGCACTCGCACTGCGAAAACGGGAGAGAGAAAGAGTTCCTGCTAAATATTTGATTAACTTTCCTGCGCTCAGTGGCTCCGTGTGTGTGTGTGTGCGGAATCAACTTAATTAAAGTTAAACAAGCAGCTAATCAAATTTTTATTACACAGTCTTAGCCACAAGAATCCTTTACCTCTTTGCTCCCGCAAAACGTGGCGTAATTTCATTTTAAAAATGCATACTCCAAAGGGGGCCACGTGCAATTCGCAGAGGAGCCCCACAAAGGATTGTCTCCCAGTATTTTTACTCGCTTTTTCATGACTGTGTGTTTGGAGTGAGTGTGTGCATTTTCATGCAGCCGGAAGTGCTTCCAGCAGATTGAAAAGGAAAAAATAGTTTCCATTTTCGTGGGTATTAAAAAGGTAGCCAAACTGAATTCCTAGCAGCTGCATTAGTTTTATGGAATGGAAAAAAAATAACCATTAAAATCAGGAAATCATAAAGACATCTCGTCATCAATACAGACCAGGGTTGTAAAAACATCGATAGTGGACCCCATCGATAATTAAAGCCAACTATATTGGCCACTATCGATACTATTGAAGTTTAAAGAAAATAAACCACGAAAGGTACCTAAAATTTTAAAAACTATCGATAGTATCGATAGTGCTATCGATCGTTTTACCAACCCGGATACAGACCATTAAGTATTTGAACAACTTGTCATTTTAAAAGCTTTATCGTTTTTTCGAGAACTTCCATAAATGTATTAATGTAATTTCAATTAAACAGGAATTCTTTTGGCTCGAAGTTCGAGGAGGTCGAAGTTAGGATACGATCGAGGTGGAGTGGCAGGCCTTCCTATCACCCTCAACGGCGGCACCTTTGAGCCACCAGGCTGTCCAACGGGTGGGCATGCGACTGTCGTAGTCCTCCATATCGCAGAGCTCCTCCTCGCCGGCCCATGAGCTCAGGGTGCTCGACGTGGCGATCCTGTGGGGCAGAGCCGTCAAACTGGGACTGAGGCTGGGACTCAGCGAAGGCTGACTGGTGGTCACCTGGCAGTTGATCGAGGACAGCTCCGGCGATAGCTCGTTCAGCTGGATATCCGAGTGGTAGTTCTTCGGCTGGTGCTGCAAGTGCTGCTCCTGCTGCTGTTGCTTCTGTTGTTGCTTCTTGCTGTTCTTGTGGCAGGGCTTCGGGGAGGAGCAGCCGCAGCAGCCGAGGGAGAGGATAAGGCACATGATTCGAAACTAAAAGAAGTAGAGAAGATCGGAAAAGTACCATAGATGTTAGCAGAAGTGCGGCAGAGTGTCTGAAAGTTCAGAAAAAATAACTCTTAAATTGATTGATTTTTTGGTAATCAGTATTAGACTGATAATTATAAGCAAGCATTGCTGATTTGCAGAACCTTTATAATTGTTTTAAAGTAATGAAGGAGTTACTTAACTTTAAAGTCCCAATCCCTTAGTATTACATGATAACTAATAATTATAAGCAAGCAGTGCAACAAGCAGTGCTTTTGGAGTTGTTTTAAGGTAATGCATAAGTCACTATCACTCAGTAAAACTTAATTTTCACCCGATTGTTTGGCTCTCACCTGTTGTTAATTTTTATTTTTATTTATTTCGATTTACCCGCGGCACTTCGCTGGGTGCCTTCAACTGAGGCAACACAGCCCAGAGCCGTTTGCTTTTATAGCTCGCGATGAGTGACGGCGAGTGAGAGTGTCAAGTGTTTTGTTTTTTGGGTACAGTTGTGTTCGCCGAAACGGAGCTAGACTGGACGAACCCCTCCCCTTTCGGACGAACGAACAAACAACTGTTTTTCGGGGACCCCTCTTGTGTGATTATGCAAAATGATGTCACTTATGTTAATTTCAAAAATGCCCTAGACTCCAACCAATGCGTGGTGCACATTATCGGGATTATCGAAAGGTGGAAAGGAAGGGGGAAACGGCAGCCCGACGACCGACTGCCTATTGTATTACCAATTTGCGAATGCAAATCAGAAGCAGAGCGCAAATTTCACACCAGTGTCGTATTGAATTTAAAGAGCTTGACATGCGACGCTCACATCAAAGCTGATGATGGTAATGATGATGATGATGTCGATGGCTGTGAAACAGGAGTAGGAGTAGGTGTGGTGGCGAGGACCTCGATGACATCCTCGATGGCAATGCCAGAGTTTCTCTTATCCGAGGGAATGGTATCCCGTGGCATGGTATCCCTCACCAAATCCGGCTGAAGATGAACGTCCGCACAGATTCGGAGTTTCTCCAGATGAGCGGGGGAATGGGAGGCCTGCCTGCGATGAATTCTGGGACTCTGGCTCCTCTTCCGGCGAGGAAGAGTCTCCTCCTGAGTCCCGACGACTGGCGGCGACTCCTGTTCATCCTGATGATAATGATCATGATCCGCCAAGTGTTGAACAAAGCTTTGCCGATCCTCGTCGCGCTGCTTCAGGCAAAATACGAACATCAGACATTGGGCCAAAGAAATCATGGTTCTACGGTCTGCAACTTCACAAAAGGCCTTTATAGGCCCAACTTCCCAACTTCAGATCGATGGGTGAGTTTTTGTGTGCTGGGGGCTGTTTGCTTATCCGACTTTTCGGTGATGTTTGGGACCAGTCTCCACAGTCTCCGCCTCTAACAACTTCAATTTCAATTAGCATTGCATACTTTCCAACGACCGAAAAGTTTCTGCACTAATGAGTTTTGTAATTATACGAAAGTTGAAACTGAATACAAAAGCCGAAAAGAAAAATCTCTTCCCGTCGTCCACGCAACAGCGGGTGGCCGGGGGTTTAATTTTACATTTATACTTTTATGAATGATTTACGCGGGCAGAGCAATTGTAAAGCGATAATAACCCAGGAGGGGGCTAAAAGTACCAGGATCCAAGAAAAAAGTTTTCAATGCAAAGCTGTTTTTGCTATAATGATAAGCAGGCAGTGCAACAAGCAGTGTTGATTTTCGGAACTTAACTTTAAAATACCTATCAATCAGCATAACTTGTTTTTCAAACTGATTTTATTATTTTTAACCAATATTAAATTTAAATTAAAATTTATAACAATTTTTTTATATAAATTTCTTATTAACGATACAAGTTGAAATTGTGAAATTCTAAATTCCTGGGTAATTTTTAGTCCATAGCTTTTGCAATCTAAATGTTTTTTCTTCCGAGATTTTGCACATTCCCCCGCTTTGGCGACTATGGCAAACTAGAAAAATATCAATGTCATTTGCAGGCCCTTGGCCGAAATTGGGGGTTGTTGCTGGAAAACGCAGTGTCCGTCCAAATAAAAAGTTGGGTGGGCAGCTATGGAAAACGGACTTTGTTACTCGTGTAATGTTAGATGTGTTGTGTCTGTTCTGGTGGCTATTTGGTGGGTTCGGGTTCCGGGTTTCGGATTCCGGGGACTGGAGTTTTCGTTCTCATTCTCCCATTTCCCCCTGGTCAGCCGCATCATTGCGGTTTCAGAACTGCATTTTTCGCTATTCCCATTTGGAGTGTTTGTTTATGTGTGCGCATGTTTTTGTCCGTATTTGGGGAGTTCTAGGATTTGTACCCTACACCCAGATAATCGCAACAGCGTATTGTTTTTCAGATAGTGTAGGAATATTAAAAAAAAATGTTTGTTATTTGCCAAAAATGCTAAAAACTGTCGATATTTTTTTAAGCTCTATTCCATATTCGGAATGAATTTCAGTACTACTAGTACTAAATAGGGTATCTGTTAGTCGAACAGTTATCTCTTGCAGCTCTCACTTTTTATTTAGCTTATTTTTAGCTGGGTCTGTGTATAGTTTGCTCTGGTCTCGTGGTTCGTGACAAGCCAAGCGCGTAACCGCAAAACAGACGCGTGGAATAGTGGGCGCACAAGAGGGGGTGGTGGGTGGTGGGCGATTGGGTGGGCAGATGAAGGTCCCACTCACGCAGTTCCATTTTCAATTTGCAGTGCATACTTTTCGGGGCTTTCTCGGTTTCTATGCCAATCTGCGTTTCTCATTCGCCCCGCTTCAATCTCCTTTTTTATGCTCGCCATGCCAACCCCACCCGCTCACCCCCTTTTCTTTCTTTCTCCTGAGCATCCTGACAGCAACAACAATCCACCCCCTTTTTTGGTCGTTCGCCGCCCCCCCCTTTTTGGCCAATGCCCCAGTATTTTGCTTTTGTGGTCATGCCCACTTGATGCGTATTTAATTAACGTTAATTGAAATTGATTTATGTATGCAGCGTGCGTACAGCCCCCTTTTGCCCCCGCCCCTGCTCTTGTTCCCCCTCTTTCCCCCAACACCCTTAAAAATATGGAGGATGGGGTACTCGGGGGGCCTGAGAATCGGCAGAGATTCGAGGGTTGACGCAATTGACAAATTTTCGGCATATTGAAGCATGAAAAATTTTGCGTTTTGGGTTCATTAAATTGATTAAACAAAATGAAAACAGACATTTTTCGGATTGTTTGCACAAAGGGATGGAAAAAAAGGGGGGTGAAAATTTAATGGTAGAATTAAGCAAAAGGCGTAGAAAAATTACAAACCAGTTACATTTCTAAGATGCCTTTTTAAAATAATAATAAATTGTATATTAATTGATTTATTTGTAATAATAACTTGATTCAATAATTCAAAAATTATATCTTTAGTTCTAAGATTATATATATATATATATTATATACAGTAATCTACTAAATTCGTGACAAGGAAAAGGAAAAGTGGAAAAAATCACCCAGAAAGGATTGACATAAAAATCTGTAAAAAAAAAGAAGGGAATTCGTAAATAAAAGAATACTACAATTAAATATTTACGAACTTGAAACGTGTGTTTTTAATGCTCACGCATTAAAAGTAATCCAATCAAGCATAGACGAAAGGAATTAAATATCCCCGCCTCATTTTATCTCTCCCTAGTTTTCCACAAAAATTAATGAGCAGAAAGAAGCAAGAAAGAAAGTACGAGTGAGTTCTTGGGGAGAAAAGAAAAGCATTCGATGCGTGTTTGCCCAATTTCCAGGTCATTAATTTTTTTCTCCTACTGCCATTTGGAGTAACGCATCTACATCTGGCGCGCTTTTATGTTCATTTAATTAGAGGAGAAATCTTTCCTTCGCCTTCGGTTTTCCCGCTTTTCCTCTTGGCTTTTATTGCATAATTTTAGGTGTGCAGTGGAAATCGAATCGAAAATGGATGAAGTGCGGGGGCTGCAATCAGCAGAACAGCAAACAAAGAGCCATAACAATAAAGCAAAAGAAAATAACGAAAATTCATCATAAACACGGGGGGAAAGCGGGAAAACTCTGGAAAAGCCCTGGGAAAGTCCCGTCGAAGATCGTAAATTAGAAATGGCATCTTATGCGTGCGCAAATAAAAATGCTGTGTGTGTATTTGTATTTGGTGCATATCTTTTGGGGTTCGGCATAAAAAGTTTCCTTTTACCCTCGTAAAATTACTCATACGACTTGTTAACCGTTTCGCCAGCTCACAAAGATACACATTGATTTTCCTGCCTCTTATTCTTATTTTTATTCTTATTTATTCCCTCCTTTTCTCTTTCTCTTCTCTTCTTTCAGGTGAGTCCTTTGGATCCTTTTTTTTTTGGTATGTAAGACGAATGGTATTGGATTCCATTGATGGGAAATGAGTAGAAACCGAAGAAGGAGTCGTTCTCCGCTTTCGCCGGTATTAAATGTTCGCTTTGATTCAATGGGTATGTAGACAAATGAGATTTTTTCGCTGCAAAAACTTTGACTCAGTCAACCGAAAGTGGTTTGTCCATGCACTGTAAAAATAATCTATAGTTACTGAAAGTTTAACAAATAAATTATAATTATAAGAAACTAGAAGGAAATATTATCCGTTGCATTTAAATTCAGAGTTGTAGCTATTTCCTTGAGACTTTTTTGTTCGAATTTAAGTATAAATATTAGTCTAAAAGTGTAGGATTTTGTATCAGTGCCAAGCTGCACACTTTTTGGTTCCCTCAAACCAAAGGAAACAACAAAGGAATTTTCCTAATTATGCGTTCACCTGCACGTACACAAAAATGAGTTGGGGATGGTGTAGCTGCTAGCTAGCAATACAAGATATTTTCTACCCAACCCCGAAAACAAATCGACCATGAAAACAAAAATCGCACAACGATTTTTGGAAAACTGTAAATGCAAAAACAAAGGTTGGAGTGGTCGGAAAGGGAGGGGGGTTCTAGATGATGTTAAACTTTCTGTGATTAACAATTACAAAAACCAGCTGAAAATCCCCGGGAAATGCTGCGCAACCTCAACCAAAGCAGAAGCTAAAATGGAGTTCACCACTCCGCATTCCATTCCAAAAAACCCCCCTCCTCTCTGCTCCTTTTTTTGGGGGCGGCTATGGGTGGTTGGGGGCGTGACAGCATCCGCTACGTGAGTTTGCCATAAGCAATTTAGCTAATTTAGCTACAAAACAACAAGGACGCCAAGGAGCAAAGCAAAATAATCGAAGCGGAAGAATGACAAAACAAAAAGTAGACAAGAAAACTAGGAAGGAAGGAAAATTTGGGGTCAAGGAAATGTTTCTAAAGACCCTAAAAATCTAATTTTTCTTACCAGAAGTGTAGAGACATATTAAAAAAACATTAATAAAAGAATT